ACACACACACACACACACACACACACACACCAACAGATACCAACACACACACTCTGTTTCTGCTGAAAATTGCAGAAGAAGAAACAACAACCTTCAGGAGCTCAACACCTCTGAAGGGTGAGGTCGACAGGAAGTTCAGCTCTTCAAGTGCAAAGAATTCATCAAATCATTAAAYGTGCTGTTCCTGATGAGTCTGTGTTTATTATTTATGACCCATCATATCGAAATGAGGATTAAGTCAAATTAGGTCAAAATGACCTAATGACATTTTCAGATTCCTGCTTTAAAAGCTGCATTTTGATACCTGGATCATCCTGATGTCATCAGCTTTTCCAGAGATAAGATTTATTTAGTCTTGTTTGTTATGATAAAACATCACTGTTTGGTCTGAAGCCTATTTTCTTGTAAATTTATTGAGTAATTTTTGATGTTAATATAAAGAGGGAACCTCAAATATTATTTGTATATTAAGATATCCCAGTTGGAAAGAAACAAAAACTTTGCTAGTTCACAGGGAAAATCTCAAAATATTAAGGTGTTTTTCCTCAAAATCAGTTTTTTTTGTTGCAAAAAAGTGCTTCAAATTTTTGTTTTATGATTATATTTCAGGCAGTTCATTCAAATGATACACTGATAAGGCTTTTATTCATTATATTTTGACAAAATGCAATTTTTGTTAACATTTCAGTCAAAACACTACAGTATATTTGCCTTTTTCTCCATATAAAACGTTTGGACTTAGTCCTCATTTCGATGTGACGGCTCACATTTTAATAAATTTATTAACGTTGTTCAGACTGTTTCCATCCAGCTCTGTGAACAGGAAGCTCTCAGAAACAGGACGGAGGAAAAGTTTCAGAGTAATGTTGGCTGCCTCTCCTCCTCCACACAGACTAATTCCTGCTCTGAGATTGATTGATGATTTCTATCAAATAATTGATTAATTGTTTAATCAGGTCCCCTAAGCTTTGCTGCCATCTCCGCCCCGCCGGTTATCTTGTTCGCTCAGCTTTTATCAGCTGAAGAAGAAGAAGTGGCACGGCGATTAAAACCCGGGAAGAGTCAGAGAGGGAGAGGAAGAGGGAGCTGGTCTTCATCATGTTGCAGCCCCGCCCTTTAATCTGACATGTGTAGAAAAAGTTCATCAACCTCCACACACTTAATCACCCTGCTTCCTCCTCTTTATCACTCCTCTTCTTCAGTTTTTACATTACAGGAAGAAAACACATCACTAATCATTCCTCAGCTTTAATTAGCTGTGTGTGTGTGTGTGTGTGTGTGTGTGTGTGTGTGTGTGTGTGTGTGTGTGTGTGTGTGTGTGCTAACTGTCGTCGTACAGAGTTCTCCTGGCTCACAGACGACACTGCGACACGTTTCTGTGTAAACAGGATTTTCTGGTTAAACTGGTTTTGTCTGCGTCTCGTCGAGGAGACGTGGACGTGTCCGGCCAATCAAACGGCTCGTTAATGACGGCGTTAAGCTCGGTGCTGTAATTAAACATGGCTGCACAGAAATGCTCAGGTCCTCTCTCTCTCCACCTCCAGCTGGTTTTACATCATCACCTGCCAATCACAGGAGAGGGGGTGAGAGTGTTCTGACATGTGTCTGTTAGCAAAACATCTCATGAACTATTGAACAGACTGATGAAACTCTCAGAAATCAACTCCTAGTAAAGTAAGTAAGTAAAGTTTTATTTATATAGCGCCTTTCACAGAAATAAATTCACAAGGTGCAGTACACTCAGGGGAGGGGGGAGGGGGCAGTTAAGAAACACCCATTCAAGAAGCCGTACAAGACAAACATGGGGGAACAGGTGAAACCGGTCATGCAGCAAACACAGTTGCACTACCTTTAACAACAGCTAGGTGTTGATCCACATCTAAATGTTAAGAGCCAACCTAATTCAAGATGGCCGCCACAGCCGACTGACCTCAGAAACAACAGGAATGTTATAAATAAGCCTTTTCTCTGTCGTGGTAGTATCAGAGTTATACCCAGTGGTGGGCACTAGTCCCCTAAAGCACAAAAGCACTAACTGCAGACTTAAAGTTCTCCTTTGTGCTTTAGGGGTTTTATTAATTTCTACAAAAGACGTGTGGATTCGTGCTTTCTAAAAATTTAGAATTGAGTAGCGCTAATCACAAATAAAGTTACAAGATCGATCGTCAATATTGTCTAAAATAAAGGAGTGCCGTCTATATCCACTACATTATGTAGCCACGTAATTCACTGAAGTCTCATCATTTCGTCAACATTGGAGGAAAGCCGTCTCATGTTAACATAATGGAGCTCTACAGTGTGGAAACAGCGCCCCCTCTGGCAGCATTGTGTTCACAGAGCTTTATACTCTGACAGACCATCATTCCCACAATTCTTTGTGTGGCAGGAAGCAGCTGGAGCTATTTTATGTACTTATCTGAGCTTTGGGAGGGTAGAGGGAGACATTAATTTATGACCCACACCTTCATCACCAACCTGCTGTTTCACGTCGTATTGAAGCTCACACGAAACAATTTAAATTCACGCTCTTATTTTGAAATGAACAGGTTCCTGTTTGTCCTGTAGCCTACCCAGAATACATCACTTCAGTTTTACAATAAACAGTTTAAAATTACTAATATATCTGCATGTTTTCTTACCATAAACATAGGAAAATGACCAAGAAATAGCAGAACTAGCAATCCACAACTAGTTTATTTCTTAACACCATGACTCAAAAGACTGTTTCAACAAATCACCTCCCCAAACTGCGACGGTATGAGCTAAAATGTGAAAGGAATTGATCGTTCCACTAGTGGGCAGTATTGTGCTGCTGACCTGTCTGTTGGTATCACTGGTATGCTTTCTGGTGAATGGAGACAGACTTGAGCMTTATGTTTAAGTTTTATGGAGCATATGTGCTTTGCAGACCTAAATAAATCAAACAGGGCTTTAGAAATTGCGCAACTAAATTTTGAATTAGCACTGCCCACCACTGGTTATACCCAGTACACACACTGAGCATGACAGATCTGTTTTAAACACTGTGAACTTCAGGAAAGTCACACTCATCTTCACTGAGAGCCACGAGACTGAAGGTTGTCAACGTTCCTGAGCACCGCTGACAAACACTAAGTGAGCTCTACCTGGTATACCTGCATARAAACACTGTTTGATACTTAACTGTTGCAAGCACTGAAAAATACGTGTACGGCTGACCACATGTGAAATAAATAAAACATAAATACYWCTAAAAGTAAGAGTTTTACTCACTGTTGAGTTGTGGTGAGTAGATGCCATCTTCAATTCTGAACTCTCTCACTTTCCTACGGGGAATTCCCACTGGTGGGGCGTTCCAGTTTAAATCTATAACTTGTAAGTGGGAAAATCCCACTTCCCTGAACAACTGAAACTCACAGCAAAAGTATCTGGCAGCTGATAATACCTACGTCTCTCCAGCTGCTTTTCCATCCTGTGCAGCTCCACCTGGTGGTGGGATGCCATCATTACACAGTAAAACAATCAACATGCATTATGGGAAATGTAGTTTATGGTCAATGCTGGTTGTAAAGTAGCATACACTTATAAAGACCCCCTCACACAYRAAGCGGGGGTCATATTGTTTCATACTGTTTTTATTYCCAGTGATTTTCGTCAACCGTATCACAGAAACAGCTGCACTGATCAACATGTAATTTGGCAGGACTGTAGATGAGTCTGACCTACACTGCTCCACGGTTTTAAGATAGACCCCATATTTGAGGAGGGGGCTCCATCTGAAAAGAAGGTGTCTGGACAAACAAAAATGCTTTTARCTCAAAAACTATTCAACATARRTCAGAATTTTTTGWTGTTTATCTCTAATGAAGGGCTGTCCATCAGGCCCACCAATGAGCCCCACAACATCCCCCAGACCCCCACCCAAAACAATAAACGTGTTGTATTGAGTTCTGAGTTCTTGTGCATTGATGCTTTGTCTGTGCGGGGGTCATATATAATACTGGTTTGCAGTATAGTTTAAAGACATAAATACATATCTGAAAATCTAGCGGGCCTCATAAAAAGCCATGGCAGGCCACATCTGGCCCACAAGCCTTGAGTTTGACACATGTGGCCCAGAGGAAACACCAGGAGGTGGTTTTAAATAAACACACATGTTGATCYTGACTTATTAGAAACTCAAAGTTTGATGGCTGACCTTCAGGAGACATGTCTGTTAACAGAGGAGCTGCAGGAGGAACCAATTGAGATGTAAGACCTATCACTGAGCCAACACACACACACACACACACACACACACACACACACACACACACACACCAGTAAAATATGCATTGTTTCTCACTGCACAAATCAACAAGCGTCTGACGAGCTGATGAGATTTTAAATGAGTCTTAATTTGTTAGGAATTATCTTTGCTGATGACAGCAGAGACAGAGACAGAGACAGAGACAGAGACAGAGACGAGACAGAGACAGAGACAGAGACGAGACAGAGACAGAGACAGAGACGAGACAGAGACAGAGACAGAGACAGAGACGAGACAGAGACAGAGACGAGACAGAGACAGAGACAGAGACAGAGACAGAGACAGACAGGAGGACAGGTACTCAGACGGTTTGTATGGGATATGCTGGTTCTGGTGCAGACTGACCTGTGACAGGCCCAGGTAGATGGAAACAGTCTCAGAGATGTAGAGGAAGCGTCCCTCCTTGTTTAGTGCAAATACAAAGCCATCCAGAGACTGAAACACAGAACAGACATAAAGAGGGTTAAAGTCACTGCAGGAAGTCTGCGCCTGCTGCAGGAAGTTAACAACAACAACAACACAATCTGTGTCGTTGCTTTACAACTCCAGTTTGACACGAGGAAATGTTTGATATGTGTGCAGACACCTGCCTCTGGTGGAGTTTATGTGACGATCACAGTCCAGGTCTGAACACACACACACACACACACACACACACACACACACACACACACACACACACACACACACGCACAGCTCAATTAGATCAGTGAGAGGGCAGCTGGAAGTGACGCCTGCTCTCAGTGAAACAACATTCAGACATACATGAACATGAAGACGTACAGAGGCTGTGTTGTTGGATCAGCAGTGTCACACACACACACACACACACACACACCAACAGATACCAACACA